CAACACACAGCGCAGCGATACACAGACGCACACACACACACACACACACACACACTCATGCAATCATGCAAACGTTTCCATCCACACACAATAAATGATTCTGTTATCTACCGTTATGCAAAGTGAAACAGAGTGGGACACACATATTCACGCCTCCTCTTTTAGACTCTTCACCCCCACTTGCTTACCTGAATATATTATGAATAACAGGTACCATCTAATGTTTAATCTGACTACAAAAGATAATACTCTATGTTACAGCTACTGGGGAGAAAGAATACAGTAATTAGATTACAGATGAGAGGTGAATGAAAACAATAGGAGACTATCACCAGATCTGATGGCTTGGATTCATAATCATCTTGGCTGGAGTTGCTTTAAAGTCACTTTAACACAGAGTCTGAGGCAGGAAATAAGATGATTGTAGCCCTACAAATATCAAAAAAAACAAATTAAGTTTGAATCCTCTTATCTAGAAAATGCCAACTCATGTACTATTATTTTTTTTTGCATCTGTACAGGCATCAACAGAAAATATGTATTTATTGTTTTAGGGTTAAAGAGCCTCTCGAGCAATATAGTATAAAACGTCCATTAAGTTGTGGGACTAGCCAGAGGCAGAGTAACACGAGAATGGTCAGAATTGAATCAGCAGAAGCCACGATAAGCCTTTGAGTGTCACGCTTCAGTCGAGCTCCAAAAGCGCTGGATCCTACATTCCCCATGATGCAATTCATCTTTCATGAAACCCTCCGTGCCTCCTAAATGCCCATGTATACCTCCAGTGTAATGCAGGCATGTGTGCATGATCACATTGCTTATTGTCCATACCTCTAATCTAGATGGCATCTACATTACAGCAGACATATCGTTTTTTTATCACTTCCATCGTCCGTGTTAATGGCTGGAACTGAAATGCTAGCCCTTAACTCTCCTTCAAGATCTTTTTTTCTTTTGATTCAAAGTCTTAAAACAACAAGAACCATGACATATACAAAAGAAAATATTGCAACATAGATTTCCCAGCCCTTAAAACTCACAGTAGTAGTTGTCTCAGAAGTCATGGCTATGTCTGTCTCCTCTCATCTCTCTCATCTCTCTCTCTCTAGTTCCACACAGTCCTCGTCCTGTTCTACTGGCCAGGAGCCTCATTTAATTAAACATTTGTGTAATTACTTTGTGAATAATACTTAAAACGTTGTGTTCTGGATTTAGCGATCCACAGGGGGTGACTGGTCGGACACACCGACCCGAGGGTCTATTTAACAGTTTAATTAAGGTCGTTAGTGTGTACGTGAGGTTTTAAGTGTAGCTCAAGTTCAATAAAGCAAAACAAATCATGGGAATAACTGAGATTTTCTCTCTTCTGCTCCTCACAAGTCCTTCCTGTATAGTTTGTTGAATTCTCGTTCTTCTCAGTAATCCACCCCCCCCCCCCTCTTTAAACTTCCTCTTTTCATTCTCTGTAAACTAATCCGTCCTCTTTCTCCACACAGGGAAACAGAGGTAAAGCTCGCTTCATGTCTCAGGTAGCAGATTAATTTGCTCTGCAGCTCGCCTCTATTCTGCGCGGGTTATCAGCTATTATTATTTACAACCACAGGTTACAGGGGAGCAGAGGATTATGCATGAAATGAGAAGTGTGTGTAAATGTGTGTGTGTGTGTGTGTGTGTGTGTGTGTGTCTGCTAAGGGAACACCGTCCATATTAGCATAATTCCCTCTTAAAACTCTGTTTGCTTCTGCTCGTCACCACAAATTATTTGAATAAATACCTGAATAATGTATCCCCCTCTAGGTTTTGGTTTCTTTGGTCGGCCCCTCTCGCTGAGCCCTGATCATCAATCTAACCTCGCCACTACCTCCTGAAGAACGCAGGACTTCCTCGCTTCCCACAATACATAAACATTAGGCAGAAACAATTACCCTGCCGGGCGTATTGTACCAGGAAAACTTTGATAGGAAAAAAATGATTGCTTTCTGTGTTGAGTGGAAAGAACAAATGGAAACACACACACACACACACACACACTGAACGAGCATCGTGAAATATTTCAAATAGTTTCTTTACAGAGAGAGTCTGTCAGACAAACAAGGAAAGAACTGTGATCAAAGTAAATATAACACATCTGTCCATTTTCTCTCTTTTTTTTTAAATCGCCGTCCTTCTTCTGTGCTACCGCTATCAATCTCATTATTTATATATGACTTTGGCCATATACAGTCCCAACAAGCATAATCTATTTACCTTCAATCGTAGTATTAGACGAGTAAAGAAGGCTTCAATTCCTTTGCATCATATCCAAAGTCTCCTGGAGAGATTTATGGTAAATTGTTTAAGAACATTTCGATAAGAAATGTAAAAAAATCTGAGCAATCGAGTGATTCGTGCGGTTAAGTCAGCAAGGTGTCTCACGTCATGAACACAGGTGCTCAGTTTACTTAATCCAGGTGTAAATGAAGACTTAAAGGGACGATCCAGTGATTTAGTATCATAAAGTTAGAGGACTCGCAGGAGACGGATTAAAAACAGAATGGTCAAAATCAAAGCAGCAGAGGCTGAGATGTCCTGACGTTACTGGATACTACACCCCCCCCAATGCAGTGTTGTGGCATCCTTCATTACACCTTCCTTGTCTGGTAAGCATCCACATATTTCATTGTTCTGCCTCCAGATCCAATAAATATTGTTGTGTAAAGCTTTGGATTTGGGTTGCGTTCAGATTTGGGTATTTTCATATATATATATATTTGTTTTTTATTGGGAACTTCAACAATTTGACACATTAAAAAGTCTGTTTACTGGTCTTTGGGGAGTACTGCATATGTTTAAAAAGCTGTTTTAAATCTGATAAAGTGACTCGATCAATGAGTCAGTTTCGGCCCCCAAAAAGTTGTACCTCATCTGTGCTTGAGGCTAGCGACTCGAGGGTAAATAAGCCGCTACTAGCATTACACATAGGCTTTGACTGTTCATGCGGCAGTACCAGTTAGTTTAAAGGTCCAGTGTATAGGATTAAGGGGGGCTCTGTTTGTAGAAATGGAATATAATATTCATAACTTTGTTTTCACTAGTGTATAATCATCTGGAACCAGGAATTGTTGTGTTTTCATGAGCCTAGAATGAGCCCTTTATATCTATAGGGAGCGGGTCCTCTTGACCCAGTCTGCCATGTTTCTACTGTAGCCCAGAGCAGACAAACTAAACACGGTTGCTAGAGAGGGCCTTTCACATTTGTACTTTACCTCAAGGCCACCGTAGTTCTCTGACCCTCTTGGAAAGGGAGGGGTGAGCGGAGGGGTATTCCGTTGGTTGCATACTACAACCTTACGGCTAGATGCCACTAACACCTACACACTGGTCCTTTAAGTCAGGTTGTGTCTTAAAGATGCGGGTACGGCCCAGGTTTTGGGTCTCAGTTTCAGGCCTTTGTGGTGCTGTGTACTCCACACCTCCACTTCGGTGGAACAGTTTTTGCCAAGCTCGGTAGTACTCCCCATGACTTGTAAACTGACTTTAAAAAACTAGCTGTACATTCAGTACACAGAATATTTCTGGCATGTGGACAGCGATGGGTGTAGCAGTGAATCTGTAGATCATATACACATTGCATTAAATACAATAATTAAATAAAAACAATTTTTGTGTGTATTTCTAGACAAGAATAGCACATTGAGCGATAGAGGCTCCTCAGATAATATGCGGGCCTCGGGTGGGTTTGTGCAACGCATGGCCAGCCACAGTGAAAAAAGCTATTGCGGTGCAATCCCAAGCTACGGAGTCGGGCTCCATCAGTACCCCATCTCACTGATGACCTCCTCATCATCTCCCAGAACCTGCACACACACACACACACAGACACACACACACACACACACTCACACACACCACCACGTCGGCATGTGTGTGTGCGTGTCAATGCATGCCATGTGACAACTCGTGTGATCATTTTCTGCGTTTGTCTCTCATGGATATCATGACGCCAAGGTGTGTGTACACAGTATACACACACCTCCGCGCATGTGTAAATGTCAGTGTAATAATGAATATGTGTGTGTGTGTGTGGTTATTCAGTGTGTCGAGGGAGCTCATGGCCCCTCGTTTAAGGGTCGAAAGATTCTGATCAGCCCCAGACTCCATTAACAGAGCGAGAGGAGCGGGAGGGGTTTTCTTGTGCCGCCGAGTGGAAAATTGAGTCCATGTCACAAACTAATCAAATCGCGCCAAAGGTGAATGGAAGAAGAAGGGAACACACACACGCACACACACACGCACACACACACACAAACAGGGCTGACAAGTATCCAGGCCATCTCACAAAGTCGCTGACGCACACAGAAGATGTGGACTGAGCAGATGGCTGCAGAACAAAAGTCTGCAAGGGTCTCTGTAACAGCCTCGCATTAGCGTGGCTCTGTGTCGGGCTAACATTAGCATGGAGCCCCGCAGGGAAATGAAAACCCATATGTGAAGTATGTGCTGCAGAGGGACCGATTTGACCGCTGCACCCGTTGTGGTTGAAACCAGGAAGACTTTGCTCTGATATTTGGTCGACTGGAAGGACGTCGCCGATCATGGCTAGAGGGTGTGTGTGGGATTTCCTTCCAGCCGGTTCTAAACACGCTGCGGTGACATGCTATACAATGCTAGGCGACTGTTCCCCTCTTCATGGAGTTATTGCTTTTGTATCCCAGGCTTTGATGATCACAATCTAATACAGGAAGAAGGTGGAGGGCTGGACTGGATGGGGGGGTCTGTGAGGGTAAAGGGGGCTTCTCATTGACCAGCTCCACTTTCTTCTTTTTCTCCAACTGTACACCAGTGCATTGTGGTATGCAGAGTTCACGTGGGGTCAGTGTTGCAGGTTTGCGGGGGGGGGGGTGTAGCCCTAACAACCCCGTTCAGCTGTCCTCCACCCTCTCCTCTCCCACCCGTGTCTCTGAGCGCTAGGAGGAGGAGGTTTTGGTTTTGGATTTAGGGTCCTTCTTGCCGTTCTGGAGCACGGGCGAGTCACTGGAGGTCTTGGGCGTTTTCCTGGGCGGACTCTGCAACGCAACGTCGTGTAGAGAGGGCTCCCGGTACATGGCCACTGAGGAGGGAGAAGGTTGCAATAGTTAGGACTGGGTAGGAACAGACTTGTGTGGCTGATACAGTAGAACTGGCTCCTCTGCTGCTTTAGTTTGTTCTTGGGATAATTGCCTTGTGGTGTTTTCAGGTTCATAAATAAAAATAAACATTTTAAACCCCTTTGGTAAAAATTAGATAATTCTTGGTGCAGTTTATGTGTTGCTTTCAGCACTTTGTTGTGTCTTTGGATATGCAGTAATGACCTACGCCATTTTATCTTTATTGACACTACCAACGGAGGTCAACAAAGTCATACAAGTCACACACAATCCAACAATGTGAACATGACCTTATTTATTCAAAATGTGAGTCAGCTTCAATTAGACGAGGAAACATGGGGACCCTGACACTGGATTACTCCCAAGCTTTTATTTTGAAGGTGCAATGATTATTATGTTTATATGAGCAATGGATGAAATAACTAAACATAATTTAACATGGGGTTGTTCATAGTGATGAAAGCATGCTTATCTCGAACTTTTCACTTCACATCAGCTCTACTAAGAAGTTGCTGCATGTCGGCTTTATTTGTCAGTATCTCTTTTATTTTGACAGCTTGTTCCACTGCCCCCAAGTAAAAAACAAAACAAGCAACGAATGCAGCTTTAACTTAGTTCAAAGCATTGCCTGGTTAGTTAAAATAAAGGTTGGAAGTTATATTAACCTTGGTTAATATCACTTATCATATAATGTTTCTAATATTAAATAAGGTGCATTTTTTTAGATGACTACTTTATTTAGTTTACTGTAAATTAGAGCTGTAACTGTAGAAAAATAAATAATGCTATAGATCAAATGCATCAACTTTGCTTATTGTGCGTTTTGTCCCTTTTGCAAACGAGATATAGTGAATCCGGTGCTACATAACGGACTCTGTGAAGAGCAAGTGCTTCCTATGTAGATGTAAGGGCTTATTCCGACAAAAAACACAACGATTTCTATTTTCAGATGATTATACACTGAAGAAAACTGACTTATTAAAGAGGTACTGCACACTTAAACATGTTTATTCAGCTGTAAACTAAAATACATGAAAGTACTGTGATGAAACACATCAATGCTGATGTTGATATTGACAATTCTTAATCAAAACTGGCATTTAATGATTGAAAATGTCTTAAAACCCCATCTACTGTTTTAAACCTGTCCTAATCTTGCAATGCAAATTCGGAGACGGAGTTGACCGTTTGGGACGAATCTACATCATGAAATAAAACATTATCAACGTCCTGTAATCAGCTCCTTGCCTCTCCCCACCGCATCCATTGCATTTACTTTTTCCGTAGCCACTTTGTAGCATCACAGCACAAGTCTGTTCTCTTCCTTCTGTGTTCTGAAATTAGGCCCGTCAGCACATCACAGACTCTAATGAATCAGTGTTAATGATAGCAATGTGCTTTCCGACACAGTGACAAGAGTGTGCAGATGACGCGTTAAGTTGTTTAATTTTAGTTAGCAAGCTAACATGAGCTGGGTCCTTGCTGCTCCCCGCTAGGATACTTCAGCCGGGAGGAGAGCAGACGGCCACTCCAGAGACGGAGCCGCTATGTGACTGCAAGTTGCTACAGCCACAATGCCCCCCCCCCCCCTGGCGAAGCAGTCTCCCAGAGGCAGGGAGTGAAGCGGAGGAAGCGCGATGTGAACTAGCTAATTATTTTCTCATTTGCACGACTTTGCGTCGTTCAGTGGGTGAACTTGGGCTCAGACCTGGGGGAGAAGTTACACTTTAATATCATATTCCATTTCTGCCAATAGATCTCCCTAAATGCTACACACTGGCCCTTTCAGAGGCAATGGATTACTTACACAATATTATCATATGGGTATTATTAACACGGTTAACTTGAATAAATCAATATTGTAAAATAAAATAAAAGATCATTTATATAGAAAGTATGAAAGTCATTATCCTGTCTGTCTCAGTGTTAAGTACCGTCAAGGTATTTGCCGACAGGCATTCAAGTGGGGAAGTACTATTCCAAAATGTAATATAAAAAGGTAAATGCCTTTTGACATAAAAATCACAGCTCAAACTTACTGGCCTATGTTGACTCAGTAAATGCTTTGTCAGCCAAATATTTACATGACTATTTTCAAGGTCAAGATCCAACTTTGATGCTTAAATCAGTCTATTCTTTTCAATTTACACAACACGATGATTACTGAACACTGAACTGATGCCGACTTGTACGTTCTCGACAGATGGTGACGAAATAAAAAGCACTGAGCATCTTCCAGGATAACGCTCACTGGTCCCCTGCCTCTGGTACAGCTTGCAGAGCGGGCTACATATTAAGCGGCGGTACCTTCAATGAGTTTGGGCAGGAAGTGCGCAGCCCCCTTTGTCTTCTTGACCCGGTTCCCTTTCATGACCTGTCCGTCCCGGTTGATGCCAATGTACCACGCCCGACCCGACTGGGTTTGTCTGTACAGGATGGACGAGTAGGTGACGTAGTAGTTCTCGAACACGCACTCCTTAAACTTACACTCCGGCGTGAAGTGTTCCTGAAAGACACACACACACACACACAGGGAGACAGATCAGGGGAGAAGAATAACACATTTGGCGTCTCTGCCATTCTTTATCCGTTCTTCTATTATTTATATATTTACTCTCCAATTCCCCCGGACTCAGCTGGGAACGGGAGGAAATGGGCCCCACATTTCATCGTGACAGGGGTTACGGTGCAGGAGCAATCTGTGTCTGCATCGGCGCGCTGCGCAAACGCGCACAAACTCATCCCAACATGTGCAACGCAGCAGCCTATTTTCCACATGCCCAAAGTGGTTTGTGAGCTGGGACGCCATAACTCAGCCGATTCGGTTTACCTGTAACAAACAGCAATCACCCGGATCCTTCACCCCCCTCTCTGTTTAAACTGTCGGCCTTCAGCCCTCACATGCACACACACACACACACACACAGACGCATAGCTCAGCATTAGACAATACGTCAACACCGGGACACACCCCACCCTCCGTCTCCCTCTCGTTACAGGGCTCACATATTCCCCTCTCTATCCCCCCCCCCCATCCCTTCGTCATTTGTTAACCTTGTTGAGGAACAAACCAATTTGCAGGATTGATTCGGAGCCTTGATGTGACGGGTGAGCAGAAAAGGCCTGAATAAGGAGTTTGCTCTCTCTCTCTCATTCATTTCTCACTCACCCTTCTCACCCTCTCCTCCTGCTCTCCATCTTCCCTCTCTTCTCTCTCTGCCACCGCAGGCGGCGGGCCCCAACGTCTGCCTCCATCCATTGTGCCGCACATAAACAAGCTAATTACATTGACTGTATCGCCCATTTCATAATTACACATCCATCCACTTAGGCGGCCATTCATTTCCTCGCCCACCCATTAACGTAGCTCTTATAGCACCGAGCGGGATGCAAAGGTCTGGAGTCTCTTGGAAGGTGCAATCAGATTGCCGTCATTAACCATGTTTGCACTGCAGTGTGTTGCATCTCATCCTCTCCCCGTGCATGTGTGTGTGTGTGAGGAGGGGAGACTTTAAAGGACTAAAACTTGCTTTGTAAAACCTGATAGCCAGCACACACACACACACACACACACACACACACACACACACACACACAC